AGAGCATTACCTGCTTTCACTTGGTAGGCCAAGATAATAAAAATACATTAAGCGGCTCTTGATTTAATTTTTTTTTTAATTTTGGTTTGAACAGTTATAGTGTTTGTGAGTGAATTTTTGTGTATTTTAAAATTAATTTTTTTTATTTTTATACATTTTTAAAAATATTTTTTTAATACTAATTTTAAAACTTAAATTATGCACTCATCACATAATATGATAGTTATTTATCATTAAATCTATATTAAATCTAACACATGAACTACTAGTGTCTAATCCACATTGTTTGGTTACCAAGAAAAGGATTAAGAAGAAACTTGGAGTTTGTTTAGTTGGTCACTTTTTCAAAAAGGGAATTCACGATAATCGACTAAAAATTTAGTTGGCTTGGCTTAGGATGTCACTTTCTTAGCATGTAGATTGACATATAATATAATTGGTTATAGAAGGAAACGTAATGCATTATAATCACATCTTCTCTAAAAAGTTTTAAACAAGTAGGTTGAGATATAATATTATTATTTATAAAAAAAAGTGTAATGCATTGTATTCACCTTTTTAAAAAGTTTCTTTTTTAAAAATAGTGGATATAATTGATTATAAAAAAAATAATAAATTATATTAATATAATTACTTATTTTTAAAAATAATTAATTCTATTATAAATATAATCTCTTACCTTTTTTTTATAACTAATTATATTGTGTTTTGATTTATGTATAAAAAAATCAATATCCTAAACTAAACTAATTAAATTTTTAATTGAATTCTTCGAATTCTTCTAAAAAAGAAGTGAGCAACCAAGTAGGTTTTAAGGCTTTTTTGCCTCAAGAAAATTTGAAAAGCAGAGCTCAATCAAAGTCGAGATCGTTTCCTAATTTTTACTACTGTTAGTGTATCAAAACTGGGATTATGCCCCTAAATTTTTACAATCCTCAAACTAACGACATTAGTAACAGTGTTGTGATGGGATGAACCATGAAGAACAGAAAGCAAGTTATTGGCCCCATAACAAAGGCCATGTGGGACCAACAACGAGTACCCAACAATAATTGCTTGGAGGCTAGGGACTTGAGCTTGACTTGACTCCTCTTCTTCTTCGTCTTCCTTCTTTCATTTATTTATTTTTTTTTTAGGGGGAGGACTCCGGTAGACTTCGTTTTCGTATTTCTCATTGGGTTAAATTTCATTTTTGTCCCTAAACTTTAATTTTAGACCAAGTTGATCCTTAAGCTTCAAAAATTACCAAAATCATCCTTAAACTTTAATTTTCTATTAACAACTTGATCCTTCCATTAGTTAAATGTTGATATGGACGGTTAAGTGATTTTATAATACAAAATTTTAAACTTAAAATATTACATGAAAATTTTGAATTCATTTTATTATTGAGAAGATGGATAATTTTTTTTCCATGTATGACTTTTCTTTATAAAGTTTGATGGTAATTAATTAATACTAATTCTAATTATTATTTTATCCACTTACTTCAAAAGTGTGAGTCTACTAATGCTACATTGCTACTTCAATTATTATCTTACCTTAATTATCTTTTTAATGTATAATTATTCGTAATTTTTTTATTAAATTAAATTAAATATAATGAGACCCACACTTAATTAATCATTTACTTCTCTCTCTTCTCCAACATATCCTTCTCTTTGTCTCCCACATTATCGCAATGAAAATAACTTTAATTACTCGAAAAACAAACATAAAATAAGTCAAATTTCAATTGTACTAGAGAAAGCAATTCCAAACTTCTAACATATTTAAAATTTTTTAGTTATGCAAAAATCCAAATCTAGATTCCAATTTTGGGCCATTTGGTTTGAGAACCCATTCAGCCACATTCCTCTCACTTGATGAATCAAAACTATAAAGTTCGAAAACCATCTCTCCCAAACTTTTAATTTAGATAGTTCCTTTAAGTAGAGAATATCTTCAACCACTATTAAAGGCAACTAACAATATATTTTTCTTAACAAAATCCAGCAAGCCCTCATAGGCATAGGCATTTCATCAAACACTTATTATGTACAACTTGAGAAATTAGAAGTTTTCTATAAACCATTGACTCCTCACCACACCCAAAATCAAATTCAACCTTTTAACATACACAAAGAATCCTACACACATCCTCAAACTATAGTTCTAGCCACCAAAACTACAATTAAAATAATATTTCTTCCCCCAACCTTTAGCAGCTAAAAGGAGAATTTAGGCCACAAAATTAAGCAAAATAACACACAAACTAATCTAACTATACACGAGTGGAGACTCTAATTTCAAAGCAACATCACTAATCTGTGGGATATCTATGGATGAATCTAGGTTCTGATGCAATGAACCTAACTTAATTGATTTGCCATATAAGAGATTAGTGATGCGATGAAAGGGAAGGGGAAGAGGAGAAAGAGGCATGGAGAAGAGATGAAAAGGGTACTACTGAAAGAAGAGGGAAGAGATCATCGATGCTAGAGAAGAGAAAGGGAGAAAGATATCATTGGTTCTAAAAAAAAAGGGTAAAGACAAAGGAAGAAGAAGGTGAAGTGGGCGAAGAAGGGAGGGATGGATAGTTTTGTAATTTCACTCGATTAGAGCTAAGTGTTTGGTTGACAAAATATAACAAAATTTTAAACCAATTGCTTTAATTTTTAAAGGATAGAAAGGCACAGTTAACACATAAGAAACAAGAAAATAAGAATTCCATCTAATATTTAAAATTAAAAAGCATGACTTTGTGGTAAATTAACCTCACAACCGACAACTACGTCAAGGAAAGGGCCAATTTAGTATCGCAAAAATAAAGTTTAAGGACCAACTTGGTCTAATACTCAAAGTTTAGATACCAAAATGGTGATTTAACATTCTCATTTTCCTCTCCCTATATCATCTTTTCTGTTGTACAACTTGTACCACTGCTTTCATTTTTTCCGTATTCCCTCCTATTTCAGTTTCCATTCCTACTTCTCTCACCTAGAAGACGCAGTAACTGCCATCGGAGACTCTCCGGTAAACCTCTTCTGAAAAGGCCTTTACTTAACGAAATTTCTGTCGATTTCCTCAACGTTCAAAATCTCTCCCAGATTTTTCGTTCGATTCCGGTGGACTCCTGTTCCCCTCATCGCCGTTCCTCAACTCAACCGCAGAAATCAAGGCCGCCCGTCGTAAACGAGCACAAGGAACCGATCTCGACTTTGATTGAGGCCTGCTTACTTTTTTTCTGGAGAAAAGAAAGCTTTTAGTCTCTTTTTAATCCGTTTGCTCGGTAACCAAACTTAAGACATCTTTTGATTGAGTTTTAACTTTTAACTGTGCATGAAGTTAAGTTACTTTTCTTTTAGTTATAGATATTATGAAATTATAGAGATACGGTCAAAGGTTTAACTTCGATGGATGATTTTCATGATATCATCATTACTAGTATAAGTTTTCAAAATTAAGACAAAAAAAA